GTACTTACAAGAATATTCCATATTCAGAATGGTTTCAATTAGAATCTCTTGTTTCTTATCATCGTGTAATTGATGCTCAAGATTTTATGGAAAAACTTGCTCCTCGCGTATGGCCACCAGAATCTCGTATTGGTTTTTGTTGGTTACCAGCTGATAAATCTAAAAGTGATTGTAAAATGAAAGATGGAAATCCATTTGAACCATTTTGGAATGAATTAAATGTTGATTTTATTGATACAGTTACATATCAACTTAATTATGATGAATATTCAATTGATCAATGGAATCAATTATTTCCATCTGTTCGTTATCCTGTTATAGCTTTAAAAGGAGCACCAGCTTCATTTCCTATGGAAGCTAGATATCGTTATTTACAAAAATATATGAATTGGTCAGAAAACATTATCAATGAAGTTCAACAACATCAACAAAAATTATTCAATAATGAATCATATATTGGTATATCAAAAGATTTTGAATTTTTATTTTATTTTATTTTTTTATATATAAAGGAATTCATTTACGAAATGATCTTGATTGGAAACGAGCTTGTGCTGATGTTGAATCTTATAAAACTCGTTCATATATGGCTTCACCTCAATGTCTTGATCTTCCATCATCTTCATATACATTTGTTACTCATAAAATGTGTTATCCATCTGATGATGATATACTTCGTTTATTGAAAAATGTTGTTCTTCGTACACGTATACATAATATTTATGTTGCAACAGATAAACGACCAATGATTAAAGAAATTGAAGAATATTTATCAGCACAACATGTACAGGTTAAACATTTAGATCCATGGTTACCTGTTATTGATGTAGCAATGCTAACACATGCAAATTATTTTATTGGAAATTGTGTTTCATCATTTACAGCAATTGTTAAACGAGCAAGAGATGTAAAAGATTTACCAAGTGCTTTTTGGGGTTTTAGTAATTAGAAATAAATAAAAACTGAATATTGTTATTTTTTTTTTGTTGTTGCAAATATACATATCGTATAATTTTGGTTAACAGGGGAAATAAAAATGTTTTACGTTCTTTTTTTTTTCTTGGGCATTCAGATACAAAAGTCTTATCTAACTTTTTTATTTCAATATAGCCTAAACGTTTGTATTCCTCACCTTCGTAGTCATAACATTTTGTTCTGATCTAAACTTAACATCCGACAGCGCAAGAATGACTGTTTCATACACTAATAAAAATCAAAAGATCTGAAACTACTCTCGCTAAAGTCTGTCTCTATGCAAAGTTTTAAGTGAGAATTCGAAAATCAAATTTTTTTGGACCATAGCATTCGTTTTAAAAAACACCGTAAAAGTGCAGTATCTTCGTAGCAATAAGCTAAGGACACAAACTCTTTTCAGGGTATTCATAGCTCGTTTGGATCTACTATATAATACACATGGGCTCGATTCAAAAACGATTGAATAGATGGAGAACGTCCCTTGTAACTCTCGCTTTGGAAAACATGTTTTTCCGGCTTGCGTAGGAAAATACTAGTAAGTATTAGTTTTCGAGCTTTTTTTCTCATCAATGATAGAACTAGGAATCTTGAAATGATTGTAGAACCGTAGAGCAAAAAATTCTCTATCCATTGATGTTAACTGCGTTGCTTTTTGGATTGGTCTTCATGAGCAAAGACTTACACAGATTGATAGATACGTGCGAAAAATTTTAGATTTTGCTTCGACAAGAAAAATTTCTTTGAAAATGCCACGAAATTACATGAAAATAATTATAGGAAAAAATTAATCTATTAAGTATTTGACGAGCATTAGTTATTTCGTAGTATTTTCGGATCAATAATAAAAATAGGAAAAAAAACTAATCTCTCTATTCTCATATATATCAGAAACGAATATTATTAGTCAGCATAGATTATATAATAAAAGGTCTGAAATGGAGGAAGAATCGAAAATGATTCATTTTGACCGATTGTACCGGTATGACCTGTTAATTGATGCGTATGATTACCATTTGAGTAAAGCGAAATTTGAGTCAATGAAGTTGCAATAGTATAAGCTGCCCATTGACGATAACCAGAATTTTGAGAATTATATTCTCCATAATTATTTGACAATGACGATGGAACTGCATATGAACTTGTCATACCACCATGATTATGACCGGGATCATGAATATTATGTGTATGTTGACCATCATACGAATTTTGAAATGTACCTGAATCATGTGCATGTGATGGCAATTGTTCAACTGTTAGTGTATGATTAGCATTACCACCTTCTTCACCTACATCTGTAGCTTTACTAACACGTAATTGTTCAGCATCGACTCCCAGAGGTACTCGACCACGTAAGTCAGGTAACTTGAAAGTTGTTGAATTATCACCTTCACCATATTTTGTACCGATAACTGAGAAAAGACGTGAATATTCTGAACGTGACACAATAGATCCATCACATAGTAACCATGGAGCAAGAGGAGGAGACGAACCAGCATATAATTTGATTTCGCCAGTAAGAAAGTTCTTATTATTTTCGGATTTAATCGTATTTTCATTATTGAATGATAAAGAAAAATTGACATTATCTAACGACATGAGCAGACTCGTATTCTCCAATGATGCAAAAAGAGTATCATTGTCCAATGATGTGAAAAAATTCAAATTATTTAATAATGAGGTTGAAACGCCAACTCTTCGAATTACAGCTCCATTTGATTTTTCAGCTAGAAGTTGTTTGGCAATGATAGCTACTTGTAATTGATCAACTAAATCAATCAATTTAAAAACTTTAAATGATTTTGGTATAAATTTTTCTCCTTCCCAAACACCTTCTATTGATATTTGTGAAGCAGCTTTTTTAATATCAGATTCTGAAACAGCATTATGCGACGTTGTTTCATATTCTTCATTATACTTTTTCTGACGATCATCATGATTAATAATACTACATGTAGTAAAAAGTGTTCTTATTCGTACATCTAATGGAGTATGAACTGGTAAATAACAATCTTTGCGTTGATTTACCGAATAATAGTTCTCTCGATTATTATGTTTTGCTGTTTCACTTCTATTAAATGTGAACATTTTACTCATTTCATTAGTTATACGATCGGGATTAAGATCAGCCGATTGCCATACTTGACCGAAAGCACTAGCCCTAATATCTATTTGTTTACCTTTGGTAATACCTTCTTGAAATAGAGCGGCAAATTGTTCTTCTAAACCACGAGTTAACATTGACATATTAGTATTAGGATCTTCAATATAAATAAGTTTTTTGACATTAGTCACATATTTTGCAACAAAATTCGATGCTTGATCACGATGAATATATGTTGAATTGATTCCACCTCCATCAGCTATTGTTTTACTTAGAACAGATTGTAGTTGAGTTGAAGTAATAGTCATCATATTCGTTCTAATACGATGCATACCGGAAAAGTACAATGAAACTTCAATATCGAAATCTCCAATAAGTAAACCAGCAGCAGTGGCTAAGGCAATTTCTTTGATGGGCGAAACAAATCGCAAGGTAATCATATTAGAATTCGGATTATCAATATGAAATGGTGCAATGCCTGGAACTGGTGTTGAACCTACTGTAACAATATAAGCTGAGAGAGAATCGAGCATCAGTGGAGCAATAACCCATGATTTTGAATATTTTTCAGTTATTGCACTACTAAATTGATTAGCAATAGCCTGGCGTGCAGCTTCTTCAACTCTCGATGTACCCATGGCAAGTCGAACACGTACTTCAAGCTTGTTTATTGTTACCCAAGGTAAATTTGCTGACGTTTGTACTGGTTGTAACACAGGTACATAGAAAAAAGTCCATTTTTGAGGTTGATTGATATTTTCATCATTCTTTTTTGGACTGTATATGTATACATGATTATCATCGAAAAGAAATTGAGTGAAATGATGAACATTAAATATAACATTGCCTATAGTTTCTTTTCCCGATGATAACTGTGGCTGTAGTTCATTGATAGCATCTAAAGTAAAGTTTGTTAATTGATCAAAAACAGACGAGCGAGTAAGATTAGACGTATTCATTGTGTTATTCGAGTAGACTGATTCCAGTTTTAAATGAGATTGATTGAGCGAGTGTCTGTTATGAATATTCTCAGCATTGATAGTAAATAAAAGAGTGATAATGAAATAATTTATTGAATATAACATTTCTTAATAAGCCAATATACTTTGTTTGCGCTATGATTAGAGTTCGCCAGAATTTTATCACTTTTTATATGTAACAGATGTATGACATAAACAAAGTATAAAGCCTAGCTGTGTGACAATTTGTTTTTTATTCAATGATATGCAATTGATATTTAAATCGTTAAGATTTTGAATATGTCATGTAAGTATCATTTCTGAAGGTAAGCAAGTAGAACAAAAAAAAGGACAAAATAGAGTATGTTTTTTTTTAATCAAATTTTATTCAAATTATATATCCAATTGTCAATATTTCGAGTAGCATGCATATTTTACCTAAAAAAAAATGAAAACACCAATTTGAATTAGGTAAATATACTTCATCATGCAACGTTTTAAAATAAAAAAGACAAGTAAAAATATGTGTTAGATATAAATCCTTTTCAAAGGACAATACGCTATCGTATACTCAACGTAAATCATGAGTAAATCACATATGAAAACAGGTTACATATAAGACAATAATTTTAATAAGGAATCAGTAACATCTACCAACAAAGTCAGTGTTTCGATAAAATTAATGTAACCTGATTAAATGTTTTTTTAATGCTAATATAACGTTCAACGAAGATCCACAATACATTGAGAAGATCTCGAATGATTCATCTGTTCCAAAATATATTGATTGGATTTGTCTCGAACCTTATCTTTGACACTCTTACGCATTGTATTCATTAGTTTACTCAATATTGACACGTAATCGTTATATTGATTCACCTCTGAGTCATTTCCTCTTTTTTTGATGCTATATAATATGCGACGGTTATATTTTTTGCCGTATACTACGAAACTAATTGTGAAGTATGCTTCGTATCAAGCAGGAAGTAACATCATCGGCGGCATCAGACGAAGTAGTTCCTCTAAAACAAATACGTGTTGATGCACAACTCCTTTCGTTTGTCGCCGATGCACTAATAATACAGTTATTTCAAAACGATGAATCTGTACCGGTTGAAGCCGTTTATTGGTAAAGAAAACATCTCTTTCTCATTTGTTTCTTTCGTAATTTATACGATCACTATAGTTTTCTTGTCGAAGAAAATGCAGCTACTTATGGTTTCGCAGCTCGTATAGATGACGAACATGAAATTGTTGCTCTAATCAAAGAAAAAATAGTAGCACAACCAGAATATACACAAGCTCTTACTCAAGGTCATGGCGCTCATCTATTAGAGCAAGATGAAGCTTGAGGGCGTGGAATATGGGTATGGTTGTTGGTGTTGCAGTCGTACATTTTAATCCACACCCTCAATATTCATGAAACTTCCAAAATCGTTCATTTTCAATGAGCTGGTCATTAAGAAAAAACTAATGTCCAAGTTAGAATTTTATTTGGCAAATTAAAATAAGACAAGAATAAAACTCACGAGGGAAGGTCTTCAACTGTTCAGTCCCTTTTGGGTTCAGACTTTGTGCAAAAGGTAGACCCCAGTGAAGTATGGAAAACACCAAAAGATTAAATGCTCTTACACCTTCTGTCCAAAGTTATAGGCATTTTACTGGAATTTGAGCCTATGGCATGGTATATACCAATAAATCGAATGACAGTAGTTCGACCTGAGATTTTGCCCACAAGCAGGTCTATTTGTGAGAGGAATGCTCTGAAAATCTCAGGTCGAAATACTGTCATTCGATTTATTGGTATATACCATGTCATAGGCTTAAATTCCAGTAAAATGCCTATAACTTTGGACAGAAGGCCTAAGGACATTTAATCTTTTGGGGTTTTTCATACCTCATTGGGGTCTACCTTTTGCACAAAGTCTGAGCTCAAAAGTGACTGAACAGTTGAAGACCTTCCCTCGTCAGTTCGAGACAAAGGAAATTGAATTTGCAAATTCGAATCAAAACGAAATTATGAATGTTTTGATGATTTTGGAAATTTACCGAAAAGATAATTATGGGTCTGTCGTCGACCACTGTTACCAAGTGAATAAGTACCTGGTGGTGCAAGTTCCAAATCTTCCTGTATCAGTTTATTATCGGTTAAATCCTTTGATGATCTAAGATCATTTTCTGGCATGCATGGTTGATAGGAAGTCGCTCTCTGTAACGGTTTTTTATCGCTGAAGCCTTGGGATGGTTTACGATCATTTTTTGACATTGATGACTGATATGAAGTCGCTGCTTGTAACGGTTTATTATTGGTTAAGTCTTCGGATGATCTACGATCATTTTTTGGCATTGATGATTGATACGTAGTTGCAATGTTCTGATTATCATTATTTGAGTCTGAGGCCTTGGACACCATTGTATGAACTGTAAAACGGCGGAAACGCGACCTATCAGGTATTTCTTCTGGTAATACATCATTATGTTCGGTATCACCATCGTCATATATGTGACTTTTCGACCAGTTTTCTCCTTCGTATACGATCCATTTGCTCAAGCACTTGATGAATCTTTTTCCATACATATGTTCAAGCCATTCTTCAGGCAATGCCTTATAACCGTAGTATGCACCTGCCAATTGACCATAGATAGCTGCAGTTGTGTCGGTATCATCGCCAAGATTGATAGCTTTTAATACACCTTTTTCGAACGAGTCCTCATCGCTCCAAAATGCCCATAAAGCAGCTTCTAGAGCACTGATAATGTAACCTTTGCCTCGAATTCCATCTTCATATCCTCTTTTTTTTTTGTATGATCCATCCGAAATTTTTTGAATATCTGGATGAAGATCCTTGTCTCCAAACCATATTTTATTGTCGGTATAGAATGTTTCTTTGAGTAACTCATTTTTAGATTTGTGTTGAAGAGCACCTATAATAAGTGCTGCATAAAATCGGCATGCATCATAGACTTTGTCATCACCATGGGTAATCTTACCACTGATACCTGCATATTCAACGGCTTTTTTAGGATTTCGATAGAAGAAAAGTGGAACAGGTGCGAGACGCATAAGAGCTCCATTTCCTGCGACTCCAGCTTCGCTGCAATATACGTTAAATTCACTTAAACAATTTGGATCGCATAGGAAATCCATATAGTCAATAGGAATACTGGTTTTATTCGCAAAATCTTTTTGATTCTTTTCAAACTGAATAATAGATTGCCTAGTAGCTGCACCAATATCGAAACATTTTCCTGTTGACGACATATAGCCATATTGATACCACCATTTGTAGCGTACCAATTGATCATAGGGTACAAAATCACGTCGAGCAATAAGCGATGTGGCCAGACAGAGAGCCATGGAAGTATCGTCTGTAAACTGAAATAAAACAACGAGTTCATCTTAGGCATTTTCCTATTAAAATAGTTCTTATAACTAATCAAACGAATTATAAAGAGTTCTGCATACTTTGAAAACTTATGATTTGTGATATTATTTTATTAACTACATTTCAGAGAATAATACTCATTCATAATACACCCTCATATCTAATCGGTACGATCATAGTCTTTGAAATCGATCTTACTTGTCCCTTTTCCAGGCCCCATGTTCCACCTCCCATAAGATTTTTAACTGGATGTGCAGTCAAATATTCATGAGGTCGAAACTCGACACAAGCACCGAGCGCATCGCCCAAAGCCATTCCCATCATAGAACCTAGAATTTTATCGAACACATAATCATCTATGTCCAAAGGTGGATCCTTCATTTTGTGTTCGAGCTCGTGTGGCCGTTTAATCAATTTTTTCTGAGCATCGTTGAACTGACATTCAAGCCAAGGTTTGTCTATAAATAAAGAATAGATCATTACCTTGTATACATGCAGTCAAAAAGTTCAAAGATACATAATTGAGTAAAAATCAAATTAAAAACACATTTGATTATCGTCAATATCGACAAGTCAAAAAATTATCGATTTGGCCATGAGCTACTGATTTATCGTCTCAGACAAATGAAAAATGAACACTCACCTGGTTCATAAAACCATTGTGGATGTTTCGTATGGAACGTCATTTCTATCTAAAATCATATCGGCGAAAATTTGTCATAAATACAAGAATAAAACTGTTTGTGAATTGTGCAAAAATCTTCCGATATCATATTGGTGGATAACTGATTGTAAGAGCGTAGATGAATCAATTAAAAAAAAATAGACATATCTCTTGAAGAAAAGACACGCTCAATCTGCTACTCTCAATTTGTAGCTCTCAGCAATCCATTTAACCAAAATGAATCATAGTGAAAATGATTTGCTTATACAGTAACGTTTTTCTATGTGGGTACCTCTCACTTTTGAGCAGTGGACACTATATTTAGGCTGTACTGTATAGTCGAACCTCTCCCACATGGGCACCTATAGTGAATATTTGAATCAGTACACGATTCTTTTCCTTATCGTCGCTCTTTGTTGTTGTGTGAATAGTAAGAAGAAAAGTTTCATCTGATATAACAAAGAAAATAACTTGTCTATACATTTCTATAGTGTCGCCAATGATAAAAAGGATATAAATAGTCGTGTTATTTGACATTACTGTATAGAATCATTGAGAAATGACGTCGTATCATTATCTTACGCTTGACGAGAAAAATGATTTGAAAACTGCATCTACTTGTCAACGAGAACTTTACCAACTCGTCATTACTTTGGAATCGAAACTGATCGATGCTTACATTGATTCAAAAACTAACAAGCAAAGCTCAATTATAGATTTTTGTTTCGAAAAGCTTGATTGTAGATAAGAAACTAGAAAATAAACGTAAATGAAGAGAAGACATTAGATGACGAGAGTGAAATACTGGACACGGTCGAAGGTCTAAAGACAGACAGACTGATAACATATGTAGGATTATTCTTTGTGACACAGCTTGCGGAAAACATATTTGTGATCGATATCTGTAAAAACGTCTATAACGCGGGCACCTCCGTCGAGTGGAAGATTTGAAAAAGTGCCGTAGGCACCCATCTAAGAGAGACTTTACTGTATATGAAAACTAATAAAGATGATTGAAGAGTTGAGCTTGCTGACATATTTCGTGTAATTAATTAAAGTATTTATACTCAACAGAGCTTTGTATTACGGATAAGCATGAAGATACAAAGTACTGTAAAAATGAAAAACTACACAAAAAATTAGTGGAATATGAGACTATGAAAATGTGGCCAACGAAAAAAACTCACATCTACCACCCACACTCATCCACACACCCCATGCTCTCATTTACACAGAGACCCTCACGATTCGTATTTCTTCAAGATTTTACCTTGGGGATATTTTGTCGCTATTGATTGTACAAATTTTAATCAACAGAAAAAGAAAATCATATAGAGAGTGATATTCTAAGAGTTGGAGGGTTTTCACGGAAATCGACAACTCTGTACTCTTGGAAATGCGGCTTTGACTACTACTAGGGACAATGTGGTCTTGAGTGAGCAACAGCATCTAGGACTTGAATTGGAAAAAAAACGACTGATTATTGTTTACCGTTTCGAAACTTTCATACTTCCAACAGCACGATTGCACACGAAAATGAAATTATTGTTGCGGCTTTTCTTCATATGACTGTATTGTTGACACTAAACAGACTTACATATACTTTTAACTCTATTTATATTATTCAACCTTGGCATCTCTCCTCTCATACGAGCTGGCGCTATAAAGAGAAAAAAAATGTATTGTTTGAGGAGAGAAAAAAAATGTATCGCTTGACGCGAGAAAAAAAAATATTGCTTGACGCGAGAGAAAGAATATATTGCTTGACGCGAGAGAAAGAATATATTGCTTGACGCGAGGAAAGAAAAATTTTCATTTGAATCTGTTTGGAGGAGTAGTCTAGGATACCTATGTGAGTTGTTCACCACGATGTTTTCCACGGGTAGTAATGATCGTTTTATTAGTTGAATTAAGCAAAAGGCAAGTCGATCGAAGAACTCCTAGCAACGGTAATGGGAGACAGCGCTTTTTGAAGATTCTGTCATGTATACAATTTATTAAACCTTGAATATGCACATTGGTCGGTTGACTATTTTTGTACGTACGTTGCATAGAATGAAAAGAATTGGAACATCGGCTATTCGATTCAGTTCCACTCTATTAAGGTTTTCCAGCTTTCGGATTCTCGAAACACACAATTTAGTTCTTTTAGACTGTCTTCGTCACTATTCAAATATTTCAAGAAAGCATTACTTGATTCTTACGGATGCTGAATTTAGTCGGTATCAATTTTGAAAACAACCGTTGGAGAAAAGAAAAGTATTGGTTATTTTTTTTCCTCATATAAAGAATGATCATAGAAGCTAAATGTAAAGACCGATCAGACATTTTCAACTGAATGTTGACTAAAGATCGAGAATGGTGTAGTCATTGAATAGGATAAAGATACCACTGACGAATCATGATTGATCTGTGTATATTTTGACTCGAGGCTATTCAGTTTTCGTTTCTAAAGAACGTAATGAGAGCAGATTTTCAAACATCACTTACTCCGCTATAACCTATTGTCGAACATTTAGTTATACCAAAACTTTCACTTTTGAATAATAAAGCATACTTGACTGAAATTTGAAGAACTAGTCAAAAGTATATATTTGAACATTAGAATGGCATGACATCTGTCAGAAAAGACTATTACAGACTTGTTTGTTACTAAGAACATCCATCTATGCTTATGTCTAATAGTCACAATGAAAGAAACAATATATCGAGAAAAACCAAATATTACCAACTTCACAATGTTCACATCGATGATCGTTATTTAATCATATGCTTGATTTGATTTACCATTCAATCATAGAACATCTATCCATCGACGGCAAAAACTCAGCTAACATCAACATAAACGACTGTACATTTAACATTAAATTTCGTTCTTGTATTTATGAAAACCGGTTTGTCATTAATAATGCTAATAATGACAAGAAACTATTCAAAGTAATATATAATCATCATGGTACATGTCGTATTCTGCAGAACAGAACCAAACTGATTCGTCTCAACGGAACATTATCGTATACATTCGATGTTGAAATAGCTTAAATATCGTCAACCTATTGAGATTTAAAGCGATTGCCCACTAATTTTTATATCCGAGTTACCAAAAGTTATGCTTTTTCACTATTTCTACCACTCTCGAGCATCGATAGCCAAACTTGTTTCATGTCAACTGACTGAAATATATTCTGTCATTAACATATTCGAGGCGATATGTCACACCGTTGGGGCCTACCATATTTTAACAAGAAACGGAATAGAAAAATACTTTCTTTTCCTTTTTTCTCTGGCAGGAGATTAGACGTAATGTATCATCTGCTCTGCCTTAAGATTGTTTGAATTATTTATTGTTGCATAGCGTGATATTTCTTGTTGAAACAACCAAGACAATAAAATTTGTCACAATCAGAACAGAAGCTTATTATATTCTTTACTGTCGCATTCGTGCGATCTTTAGTCCTTGGCGCCCCATTCAAGAATCTAAAACCTGGTCTGAGACAACTGCCAACAAGTCGAACGAAGTGCAAAATTACTGATCACAAGCTCTAAGAAAAGGGAGCATTTGACCGCGATGTCCGAAGACGCTGTGCTCACTGCTACGAGAGAATCAGACAACAACAATCAAGAGAAGCAAGTAATACGGCAGGAAAGAAGATAAAAATCTTCTGTTCTGATTGTGACAAATTTTATTGTCTTGGTTGTTTCAACAAGAAATATCACGCTATGCAACAATAAATAATTCAAACAATCTTAAGGCAGAGCAGATGATACATTACGTCTAATCTCCTGCCAGAGAAAAAAGGAAAAGAAAGTATTTTTCTATTCCGTTTCTTGTTAAAATATGGTGGGTCTTATCGGTGTGACCCATCGCCTCGAATGTATTAACTTGCATTCACTATACATCACTCAAATAGTTCTTTTTTGAATCTGCATTCCTTCTTGCGCTGGCCATCATGATCGATGGTTCGATCTGGATGCCAGAATCATAAGTTTAAAAATTTTTTTTGACTCTATTGTGCATATGTAGAAAAAGCTAGAAGTCAATTGAGTTTTCTTCTAACATACTTCATCGTATTGCTTCTGGTAACTTTCAACAAAGATTAGTCACATGTATATTGATACATTCCTGAGCCGACATGCACTTTACAATGGTCCCCAGTTCTGGAAAATTTCTTTTATCCAATGAAGAAACACTAACTTTCTTAAAATAGACGATCGACTTCATAAAGTTAGTCATTAATAGAATATAAGTGGTTCAATCGACTTCATTGAACTACTTTGATTGAATATAAAGAATTCTACTGAATACTGAGTTTTAGACTCTATGTAAAAGAATATTCAATAGAATATTTCCTCTATAACGACATTCTTTATAAAGTTCTCACTTAAATTTGTCTTTGTGAAATAGAATGCCATACGTTCTTTATCAAAATTATTTTGAAGGAGACAATACGATTTTCTGAAAATGGTACTCTTTCAACCTAAAATCGTATCGAATAAGAAATCCCAAGCACGCGTAGAACATAGGTAAATATTTTTTAAAGTGAAAAAGGATGGAACCACACGCTAAAATAAAATGTGTTGCTAGTTAAAGTGTCGCAGATTCTATTACGAAAATGTGTCGTATTATGAATTTGTCGTGTTCTATCTCCTCACCATTCATTCACCATTTTGTTTTGCACACACAACTACACATAGACAACTCGATTGAACATGCCAATCTCAATCAATAATCGAAAGAGTATATTATTTTGAATCGGTCTGATCGAGATCGGGTCAACTCGAGACGGACATATCTCAAGATCTGACCGACTTGAATTTTCAGAATAGGAATAATTAAATCGAATTAAATTGAAACAAATTCCATCATTTGTTTTCACAAACAAAAACAAATAAAACATGCGCTATATACTAGATTCGAATCATGTTTTCAAAATGTGGCGTACATTGTGTCGCAAAGTACGTCATATGCGACACATTTTATTTTAGTGTGTATTATAACCACGACCGAAAAATTTCACAATATCTATCATTGTTTTTTGAAGTCTAAAGACTAGCATGCAGAAAGCTCTCGAAACTATCACGGATCGTTACCAACATAAGCGTGGCTAAGTGATGTCTCTTCAGCCATCCACACTCACATCGTTACATAATATAAATCAACTCATGCAGATGCCTCTAGAAGTTAGTGATCGCCAAGAGCCTCAATGTTCTTGACATGCATACTAATGGAGATGAAACATTTCTTGTTTTTTCATCAAAATGAATATTAACCAGGATAATTAGTAAATATGTGATCTACCGCTAGCATACTCTTCAATAGTTTTATTAATAGAATTTGATTTAAAAGTCTGAAATACATTGAAAGTTCACTTAATCATGATTATTGCTTTACTTGGAATGTAAAAGCATCTTTACGCGCATAATGTCCACAAATATCTAGATCCATCTTGCCTTTAATACATTGATCTGTGTCAATTTCAGCAACAAGAACACCTTCTTTACCAAATAGAGGACCAGCAAGAATCTTGCCGAAAGGATCGACAATCAAACTTCCACCATTGGTCAACACACTTTCGGGATCAGAAAATTCTTCGGGCAATGGATGTTCTTTTGGCATATTCTTTGTCTTGACAAATTGATTTGCACTTAACACATATGTTCGTCCTTCAACAGCGATGTGTTGCATGCTGGCCATCCATGTATCCCGTGCATCTGCAGTAGGAGCCAAATAAATTTGAATATGCTGTGAATACATGTGATATCGTAGAAGAGGCATATAGTTCTCCCAACAGATGAGGGCTCCCATTGAAATATCTTTTGTCAATCGAACCGGCTTGACATCTTTGACATCACCAAAACCCCAAATGAGACGCTCAATACCTGTAGGCATCAATTTTCTTCGTGAATGTACGAGACCTTGTTGAGGATCGATGTAGATAACTGTACAGTACAGTGTTCCTTCATCCCGTTCAATAATACCAATGACAAGGAAGATATTTTGATTGCGAGCAACTTCTTCGATTCGTTGGATCTCAATGGACTTGTCGTTTCCATCAGTGAGAGATACTGAGCCTTGATAATAATTGAGGAATTCTGTACGACCTTCGTCAGTACGATGACCAATCACAGAGCCAAAGTGTGAATATCGTGGATAACCACCAATGAAAGCTTCAGGAAAAAGGGCAAGTTGAGCACCTTTCAAAGCAGCTTCTTGACTAAATTTTTCAAGGTGAGCTAATGTTTTGTCAAAGTCGAATTCTTGGGTCGCACATTGACACACGGCGACTGTAATTTTCGACATTTCGCCGAAAAGACACAGATAAAAAATGCAAACTAAACGCTTTTGCGATACTGAAAACGTTTAACGATAATGACAAAACAAAAAGAACGCTGACTCGATAACAGCTTATGCAGAACACGTGCCGAAGACGGAGTCTATTGACATTGTCTCTTCTAATAAAAAAAAACGAAACTTTGTACTACAATCATACTTTTTAGTCTTGGTCACTTGCCTCTCTCTACTTGTTATCTTTTTGAACCAATGACCTATGGTTTCTCAATGATTGTTAGGGTGTGAGTGTGGATGTGAATGTGGGAATTTCTGTACTCTCCGCCCAGATCCACATCGATCTACAGTTTTTTTTCGAAGGTAGTTTGTTTCAAACGTTGCTCGCCCCACATATTTTTTAGTGTTTACACTGCCTACTATAGGATTTAGTCCAGCTTCGCCGAAGATAAATTTCGCCGAAAAATAATTTTCACCAAAAGAAATTTCACCGAAAATGAAGTTCGCCAATTCTATTATTGCCGAATGAATTTATCACCGAAAACAAATAAGTTGCAGTTAATCGGTCTTATAGACAATAATTATATTTTAGTTAATTAGTCCATAATACCAACTCAGATGGTTATCATGCTGATGAAATCTGTTCATTGGTTAATTAGATGCCACTAGAAGAAACTTCAGATGTCTTAATCTGTACGAACAAGACTTGTGGCTTCGATATAGCCTTTATGCTTTGGTGTAGATTAATCGTTTAGACTTCGTCATACTAATGAAAGAAAACAAGGAATAGTAAAAAAAGATGTTGTACATAAAAACTTTATGTCGTAGTTTGATTTAACACTATTCATTTTTGGAAGGTAAACGATTTGGTAGCCATCTGACTCGGTATCATGAGCTAATTAATTAAAATATAATCGTTGTTTATAAGACCGATTAACTGTAACTTATATTCGTTTTCGGTGATAAATTCATTCGGCGATAATGGAATCGGCGAACTTCATTTTCGGCGAACTCTATCTTCGGCGAAATTCATCTTCGGCGAAAATTTTTTTCGACGAAACTGGAATTTACCTACTGTAGCATGTTATAATAGTTTTGCACCAAACGTAAACTATCTGTTTCATAGTACAATAGAGTTAGCTTAACTCATATATTTCGTTTAATCATTTTTTTTTGAAAATGTTGATAAAAAAAGTAGCAAGTCTCTTCTAGGAGATATGCAAAATACGGCTAGATCTCAAATAAAATCATACTTTAGTTACGATATTTTCTTTTCCGTACGCCTAAATCTATACGCCCATTTACATCCGTTTCTATATGCCCGAAGCCATAATAAATCTTTACGCCCTTTTTTGTACTTCCTTTTTACGTCCTTTCTATACATCCGAATCTGTAACACATGTCATACTTGAAATTTGAATTCAATCATTCGTGAATTAAAAAAAGTTACTCGCATAACTAGTATTTTGTATCGGGTTCACGATGTACAGATGCTATGCGCCCCCGAAAAGTCACAACACATGCACACCTCTGTGTACATAGTAAAATCCATCCTTTTTTTACGTTCTGACACTATTGAAAATGACCTATAAAAACGATCGAAATCTGAACAAATCATGAGAGTTTGGACATTTTTTATCATTTCCGACTGAAACGATAAACCTGATGGACTCACTTATCTCGACTATGTCTTGTAGATGGTTCAGCTAACGATTAATCACTAGTAAATACGTGCAGGCTTCGAGAACGCCTGATCATCTATTCTATATTATGGGTTTCTTTTATGAAAAAATTTGTTTTGTTAATATTTTCTTTTTCCCCACAAGTCATCGTTGTGAGGAATAAAGAAAAAATTGTTTGCTAAGTGTGATTCATCATAATAATGTGGGAAAAATCTGTTATGGGATCTTTTCTTTCTTCCGTTGTACAGGTAACGTGTGACACAAGTTATTGTTTTTTATATTTAAATTCATTTCGACCAATTTTTGTTGCCATTACCATGTATTAAAAACAAATAAAGAATGAAATTGGAATCGCTACCAAACGAACTCTTATTAGATCTATTTAAATATTTTTCTACTGTTCAACTTCTACGTTCTTTTAATGATCTCAATTCTCGTTTTAATAATCTTCTATTTCATGATTTTCGTGATTATCATCTGGATTTTCGGTCTATATCTCGAGATAATTTTAAAATTCTTTGTCAACAATATCTTCCAGTAATTATCGATCAGGTTAGTTCACTTCGTCTAGCAAATGATGATGATGATAGTCCACAACAAATAGATCTCTTCTTTTCACATGGTATGATTCTACGACAATTCATTCATCTACGAGCACTGACATTATGTTGGATACATTCCGAAGAGACAATGAACAAGATACTTATTGAGTGTCATCATCTACCGCGTCTCAGTCATCTAAAAATTGTTAAATGTGACTCTGTATTTGGACATATGAATGCTATACACTTATTCAATAGTATTTGGCGTTTGCCTCATCTTACTGATTGTCGTTTGAATATACAAGGAAATTTTCATATACCAACAGTGATTCTACCATTACTCAAATATCTTTCAATCCAGAAATATTATTGCCATTTAAACGAGCTGAATCGGCTATTTGAACGAACACCTTATATTCAAAGTCTCTGCTTACTGTTGAACGATCTTAATGATGATCAACGTCTTGTATCATCTGTTCCATCGATCATTTCTTTGAAGTTATGTGACGTAAGATCACGACATATCATGTTCAATCTTCTAACAAACATGCCTAACTTGAATCGTTTGATAGTTGAAACAAATTTTATTAATATGGATGGGCATCAATGGAAAAACATCATTGTTAACTATTTACCGAAGTTAACTATTTTTCGGTTAAAAATGAAAATTCAATACTATGAAAAGATGAATAATGAACAACAAATCGATATACTTCTTGATTCATTTCGAAGTCAATTTTGGCTCGAAGAACATCAATGGTTTGTTCGATGTCATCGAAAGTTAAAGAGTGATTATAGTGATGTCTTTTTATATACTTTTCCTCAGATATTTACAGAATTAAACATGGATACAATGAATATTTCGTATAAATCGACCTGTCCCTATGATAAAAACTTTGGGTCATGTCAACAAGTTCGAAATCTTATATATGAACCATCCTTAATCATGGACTTGACTCATCCTCACATTTATTTTTCCAACATTCGTCATTTGTCCATTCATCTTCCATTGGACAAACAGTTTTGGACTATTGTCAAGAATCTTGATCATTTGACATCATTATCAGTCAGTTCGACTGATGATAATGCTGATTATGATCTTCAAATCTTACTTAATGAAGCACATTGCCTGTACTCATTAGAAATTACATCATGGCCTTCATCGCTAATACCTCTAGTCAAAAATACGAGTAAATCGGTCCGACGGCTTGACTTGCGTCAGCTAACAATTTGTCATCAACAAGATTCCAATTCATCTTCTAGGACACAAAACTATCGTAAATTTGGTTGTTCACGATTAGGCATTCAATGCGAAATACTTCGAATTGCTACTGAATCTGAAGCAGATATATTAGCACTTGTGGATACAATGACTAATATTCGAGTATTGTACACTACATGTACATCTGATATATGGAAATATGCCGATAATGTATCTTCATCGAAAAAATTCGAATTTATTGAATTATTGAAATCTTCGTTACCTTCTACGTCTATAATTACAAGAGTTTCAGGCCTTTATGGGTTTCTTCAATTATGGTTTCGTTGAAAAATATCACAATTTTGTTAATATGTATTACGAATATTATTATTGCCATTATTAATATAAAATATTGGTGTCAATCTCTACGATATTATTATTTTCATTTGTTAATTTTGACTCATTATTTATATAGTTCTTCTTAGAAGAAGAACTCATTAGATTTTAATCTATTTAGAAGAATGGCAGTAGTATTATCAGTAGTGTAACGAAAGAATTCAAGAATTTTTTTTTCTAAAATTTTTAATCAATTAATAGAGATGGGCGAGTCAAGTCATTTTTTCACTTAAGCGAATCCTAAAGATCTTTAACTCGTCTATCTTTTATAATCAATAGCAATACCATGGATTGATACTCCAGTGATTATAAAAAACAATTTCTATGTCAAGAAGAAATGAAAGAGGTTGTATAAAAGATTAATTGAAGTCATATTAATCTTTAAGATGGACACCATTGTCATCAATATTAATATTGAGTATTATTAGTTTTAGGTAACCAATATCAAAACATATCATCCTTCATCGTAATAAATATTAAATAATTTAAAACATCTATTGCTATGAATGAACAGATCGATAAAAAAATGCATCCATATAACATAATCAATAAAAAAAAATGTTTTCCTATTATTTTTTGACAGTAATTAAATGAGAATGTGTAGAATTTTTATTTCGATATGATTTGAAAAATATCCGAAACATAAATAATTTTCATTACAATCGTATATCAATCAAGTCAATCAAATGTATTATTTCATTTTGTACATTACAGAATCAAAAGTAACATAAACTAAAACTGCTTACACTTTCTACAACATCAAAAACTATCAATGGCATTACATATAAGTCAATCTTGCCAAACACAATGAATCTTTCGAAATTTTGTATCGCAAAAGTATTCCTCTGCCTGTAATTAACATGTAATCAAAATTTTTCGTCTATCAATATTGAACAATTATCAATAGACAGATGAATGATATCTATTGAAAATTTAAACCGTATTTTTGTATGCTTATTCACACAGTCAAAATTGATCCAGATAAATAATAAAAATACCGTCAATACAAAATCATATCTTGAATCGAATAATGAAACGGACGACAATATGTTTAGCAATTGTACCGATGATTAAGATAGTCTCTAAAAAGAGAAATGTCATATTGAATTTTGTAGAGCCCTAAATTTCGATGTCATTTCTTGAACTTTTTTGAATTATTTACTTTCTGTTTAAAACTTTTTCAAACTCTAGTTGAAAAGTCTAAGATTTGAGAAAATTTAGAAAATAGTACCAAAATCTAGAACCTTAAAAAACTCAGTATAACGTCTTTCTTTAAACACGATCTAAAAAAGTGTTGAAGTATAAGAATACAAATTTGCATCCTGCCTCCTTGTCAGAAAGACAAGTGTATTAATCGAAGATCACTTGACATGAATTATAAATAAATGATCTTGTTCGTATTATCAACGGTATTTTCTTGAATAAATAGAAAATGGTTGGAAGACATATAGTATAGTTTTGACTCCGACATATCCTAGTTTTGCATCGTAAAACCCACATATCTGTACGTTTCATTTTAATGATGGAAAACGATAAGAATGAAATCTAAAAAACCACATAGAAAACTGGAACTGTTAATTATTTCTAGAAATCATTTTTTTTTGTTCCCTTCTGGTATACACATATAGTGTGTATTCAAAAAGATTCGTTTAATAATGTATCGTCTTACTCTAATAATGTTACTGATAATAAACACTGTGCATTAGTGAGACTTTTTTCTCAAGTTCTTTTTATCTACAACAGTGATTGTGTAAACTATCATGATATTTATTTTCGTCTCGTTTTTTTGATTGGTGAATGTGTATAAGCTACTTCTCATATACTTTACTGTCTGTCATAAGGTAAAAAAACGAAAGAAAAGACAGAAAAAGTTTGCATTGTGCGTCTTCTTCGATGTTTTTTTTTATTGCGATTCTACTACTTCACTGCTCTCCTCAAGGTAATAAACAACACTCACAATCTACTATACGAACACGTGGCTGCATTCATTCTCCATAAATAATAATAAAAACATGAAGAAAATACACGAGGATGCATTAACATTCAAGTAAAACTCGGTAGGTTACATGCTTTTTTTTTCTGTACGTTTGAATTTGTTTCGAGAAGGGAAATTCATTTTATTATCGTGAATTGATCGTCGACTTTAGGAGAATTGAATCAATCAGAAAAATTAGATGTACCTAATTGAAGCATTTTCTACAGTCGTTTTATTGTCTATTTCAACAGGGAGAATAATAGTTATCCGAATCATTCGATCAGAAACTTGACATATACCTGTCGTTGGATTTCTTCTCAATATAACTATCGAAAAAGTATATGAAAATGTAAATGAACCTTAGTGTACGGTCTTTCCTGTTGATCAGCTGCTTCGTTACGTAGTGTAACGATTCGACTTTGATACATGTCTAGACTGATATTGAACTTGAATTAATATCGATCATCTTATTTTGCGTATGTTTGACTTGGAAATTGAAGCATACATGTATTTTGTCGAATAATCAAAAATAGCAATATTCAGAAAGTGAATGAATACGAGATATTATTTGTATATAAAATCAATAAAACTTCGTATTCAAAAAATCATAGAATATTATCTAGATATATGAATATGGATGTTTGATGTACAACTTCTCCATTTTATTCTCGAGTCATGTTCGTCGAAGTTTCCTTAGCTTAACTGCACATATTCGTAAGGCGTCACCGATAGGGACGTCAAAGATGCTTGTATCATATTCACCATTGATACTCATATGATTAGAATGATTTTTTTAAAAACCTATGACGATCATAGATTCACATATTGCTTTGTAAAATAACGAAGACATGATATTTGATGCATTGTAAGTATTGATATGAATCTATAACTATGCTGAACAAATTTAAATGCTCCTAGAGCTTTGCAAAACAATAAAAGAGTTTTCCTATCTGTAAATATTTAAAAAAGTCAATAGGTTCTTCAAATGAATATAATTTCTAGAAAAAAAAGTATTTGATTTTAATAAAACAATGACAACAACGACAGAACTTTCGTTGACTACTTCATCCAAGCGTCGACGAATTATGATTATCACCGGTGATGAAGATGTTCTTAAACAGATTCGACTTGGTGGTATGACACCGGAAGTCGAACCCATCGTAGTCGAATTTAATGATGCTACTCAAAACACTTCTCATTTAACGGTAGTTAAGATCCATTTAATTTTATTTTCAAAGACTGAATGTATTTTTATTCACAGGCTGAAATGCAAGCATCAGTAAACCAGAAAAAGTCGAATCCAAGAACATTGACATGTGTCGTCTGTGGTGGAACAGCACATGGTTATAATTTTGATGCAATTACTTGTGCAAGTTGTAAAGCATTCTTTCGTCGTAATGCGTATAAAGATCCGGTAGGTTGAGAAGAAATATTTATCATAATCGTTTCAATTGTTGTTAGTTTTTGAGAAGGAAAATGAAACTCATTATTTCTAATTCAAATCGATTCAAAGTTTGATGAAAAAATTTTCTCGATGAAAATCTAAGAAACAAGTGAATGATGGTGATCTTCTTTCTTTTCTTTTGTATAGGAAGAGCTCAAATGTGAAGGTAATCATGATTGTCAAATCAATTTTGCATTACCACGTCGTTGCTCAGCATGTCGTCTAATCAAATGTCTCAATAGTGGAATGCGACGAGATCGACTTTTGACTGTATATTTGAATAAATACCACAAATGATTCACATAAGTATTTCTTTCTCGTCTAGGATCAACAACGAGCAGATAGACGTCAAAAAATTGAAGAAAATCGACGAGTCACATTAAATTCGCCTAGAAATCAATCTGTACCATCGGTAAGTAATGTTTTTTTATCCACAATAGTAAATACAATTGTTACTTGTACTTATGATCAAGTCGCCGATGATTACAAATCATTCTCCTATTAATTCGACTTCATCTATGCCAGTAACTCGAACTCTTCTCACTGTTGAAGAGCAACAACATATTGAAAATATTCAACGCTTCTATCAAAAACGTATCGATATAGGTAGTTATTGTTTCCAAGATGGTAGTTTTTTTTGTTCTTAACATTTGGACGAATCCATGGGAAGTATGTCCCATTTCCGGGAAAATTTTTTTTGACTGTCTAGTAAGCATTTGATCCGAAGATATCTTTGATAGAAAAAAGCTTCAGACATGTCTATCGAATTCTTGAAATACAAAGAAGTCTAGCAAGTAATTCCATGTTAAGAATTCAATAAACATGTTGCAAGCTTTTGTTTTGACTAAAAATATTTTCTGATCAATTACTTGCTAGACATCTGAAAAAAAAATTTCTAGAAATGTTTCTCATGCACTCGCACACTTTTTTTCTCACAATTGTCAATAAGTGTTAATGTAGAGAGTGAGAAGGTTGGTTCCACACAGATTCTTATAGATGTGCCATCAATAACAATCTGTTCTCTTGATCATAGCATGAGTCATAACCTATGTTGAGAGGAGCTACTCCATCATGATTCACATTATAATTCAATAGGATTTATACTGAAAATTTTTCTTCTTATTTGAATTGTAAGCGGCTGACAATGGTTTACCATGGAACCCTTCGATGGCTGGAACGTCTCTATTACAATGTATTAATTGTAGCTCAGTTACAGCCCTACGATTATTATCGTTTTTCAAGCAAATACCTGATTTTGTTCAACTCAATATCGATGATAAAATGACTTTGATCAAATATAATCTTATACCGATCTTTATTTTAAATGCTTCACTATGCTATAAATTAGACGCAGAACAATTTATTGAAGCCGATTCTGATGCACCATGTGATGCAAAAGATATTCAAAAGTATCATGGCATTGATTTATCCTTGAAACTTAAAAAGATTGTTAGTGCATTATGTAAGATAGGCCAGTTTGATGAACGTATTATTCAACTTTCGTTAGTAATTCTTCTATACACGAAAGGTTTTTCGACTATGAACAGTGAAAATGAACCAATATTGAATGATGGAATGACTGTTTTTCGGGTACAAAGTTACTATGCAGAACTTTTATGGAAATATTTAGAAATGAATCATGGATCGAATAAAGCTCTTCGTATATTCAATACGCTCGTCTCTCATTTTGTTGCAATACAAAATCTCAATCGAGCACTGTACAATAATTTACAAGATACTTTGTCGCCTCTCGATATCGAACATATGTTACCAATAATGAAAACACTTCTATTATTTTCATAATGTTCATTTCTCGAAAGCAAAAATAAAATAAACAAAAAATATTTCTCGCTATGTTTTATATATAAAGTCTACAACCTATCACTTCTATAGACATTCGTACTGTCATTTTTTTCTATATGTCAAAGCTCTGGAAAAAGTCGTATCATGGATTCTCTTTCTTTTTCATATCCTTTTGTGTTCAAGTTCTGTTTGTCATGTACACCATTTTTTGTAACGAGCAATCAAGGAGAATATGAATGAAGAGAGTATCATAAACCACTCATACCCTAAATTTTAATATATTGGCAGTGTTGCAAGCAGGATTCTTCTGATGTAATCTCATTATTGCGCAAACGAGAATACATCGAAAGCAAACAAGATGATAACAACATATTTCAGCTGAACGTGATAGATAAAGACTTTTTTCGATAGACTGATTCTGTCTTCTTTAGATTAATAACAGAAAACAAATTACTGTCCTTTATTTTAACTGTTATTTTAAACAAAATACACACTGATGAAATTCCATGAAGTCCGAATATTAGGTTAATCACTCAACCAAAATGAACTCGTATCTCTTCCCGATAAGAGTAATTGTGTTTTATTCTTTATGGATGTTTTATTTTTATTCTATTCGATATAACACGTACTACTATTAGATGACTCACTGTTTCTGGAATCTATAAGTATAATATGTGTTGCTTAGAAATTGGAATAAATGCCAAAACGAGCGAAGCATCATTTATTCGTCTCGTCGTCAGAACGACAAAAAAAATGGATATCAACTCTTTCTCTTATTTCCTATGTACAAGAAATGCATTTTCACTCTTGTCTAAAGTCAAGTTAGTTGATGTTTTACAACTGCTGCATCGCTTTACCGAATTTAGTTGTCAATTAGTTAGTCGTTTCACAGAGATAAATAAATTTATAAAAAATTATCGTAACATTCCTTAGTCTATCGATATATAATATGAAGACTTCAAAGAAGCTCATCTGTCGAAGAGAAAAAAAAATAATGATTCATTAATTTACCTATCAACGCCAGTAACACTGCTTCTTTTGTCTTTCATTTCTAAAAGAATTTATTTCTAACTACGGCAATTTCCTTCATGTTCGATGATTACACAATACACGAGAAAAAGAACAACGACAACAATACTTCTTTTTGTCTATCTTCACATGAACGTTACAGTAGATGGTTGGAATTTTTATCCCGTCGAATCATGAGCTTTAATATTGCTTGAAAAAATCGCAGCATAATATTATATACTGTACTCTCCAAATATACATGTTCTTCAATGCACTTAACGATGCACAATATAAAATATTATTCACTAAGATCTTTTTAACGTAAGAAAATAAATAAAATCATGCTCCTATCCGTTTGATTATCGTGAAGAATATCTAGCATTGGTTTTCGAGTATGATAGTTCATTTAACTTTATGTGAGCAATGCTTCTTCTATAAAGAGTCAGTGCGGGTACTCTCTTGAGCTAGCCATAGCCACAGCCTCACTCACACCCATATCCTCGTGGTTTTTTGGAGCATGATTGTTAACGAGTGTTGATATATACAGCGACAAAAGTTTGAAACTTCCTGCACATACATACACAAATCGTGGCAGATATTATGAAACACTAGTCTAACTAGCTGTTGCTGGCAATGATCGATATGAACAAAGATTTCGTTTGCTAGTAGCTTCCCTCCATCCTGGTTCACATTTTAATTGCACTAGAGTGACAGTAGATGTCATGTTAGCGCCAGAAGTAATAGATTTAAACAAGTAACACTTGTCGAAACAGCTGCTAAAAATGATTGCTGTGAAATATTTTGAAACTGATGCACATCGAATACATAATACTGTATATAAGGAATCGTAATTATGTTTTTTATCATGCAGAAATACGGCAGTATATTTCATAATGTGAATATTAATTAATAAAGTTAACGGTCGAGTATAATCGTCTTTCGAAAAGTTTGATAAACAGACGGGTTGATAGCAATACTGCTATTCTTTAAGTTACTGATCGCTATTAAATGAATTTTGTTACCAAAGACACGATAGAACGACATTTAGTGTACATGCCGCTTGTTTCTTTCATTGATTTATGCATCAAATTTAATTATAAATTACGGTTATATCCAAGAGAATAAATAACTACTTTTAATAATTAACATAACTTTTCACTAGAGTTATATATCGGCTTTCACAAGCGTAACGCGATGACGTTTTGTCCATACTCTTTTTGCTATTTCTTATCGATGCTGTATTTTTAGAAGTTTATTCTTTCATCAAAAGATTCATATATTTAACCCTCAACATATCTGAAAATATCAGCCTTTTTAGCTCAGGTTATCTCAAAGTTATAAAATAAATTTGTGGCCAAACGCGATGACGAAAAAAGGACAAAGAATTGAGGGTAGTTTGATTGCATTCCGTTTTTCTGCGAATTTATGCACGAAGAAGGAAATCGTTCTATGGCCAATCGAGAGCTGACTTTCCCATCCACCAGATGGAAAAAAGAAAACTTCGAAATAAGTACTTTATTTGGATGAAAAGTCATATTTATCAACGTAACGCGATGATGGTCTCGTAACGCGATGACGCCTAATTTTAAGGGTAGTTTTTTTCCTATATACTTTTTCACTATAGAAGCAATAGCAAGAAGAAAACCTAATAGTTACTTCATTATCTCATACGATTACTAGTTATCTATAGAGTTTATTTTGTATTTTATGGAACTAAGTGGTGGAAAAGGAACATCTAGTCAGACACGACATTGAAGAGTTATTGCATAATAATAATGAATAAGAAGTTTATAAAATACAAAAAAATATTCCAATAATTGTTTGATTCGTATAGTATTATTTGTATTAACAATAATTAAGTCAAAATTGAAGAAATGTAAAAGGAGGTCCAAATAATTCTATCCTGTATCAATAAATGCTTGTTATTGCAGCCTCATTGGTACTGGAATGTGATGCTCACATATATCTTTAACTTTTACCACGATAATACAAGGTTAGTCTAACATCTCTAAAAGTCGATCGCCGTTTTTCATGATGATCGACAGTAAACAAATGATCCTTTTTTGTGTTTTACTTCCAAAAACTATTATTTTCTTTTGTTAATAGGTGCTCTAGATTCACCATACATATTTGTACATACTTATTATTGTAGTTTTCAGTTGCGTGTTTTTTAAAAAATATATTTATCGTTATGAATATTAATTCAAATGGCAGATGATCTCGTCATCCATATCTATTATATAAACTTGATCGTCGGGGTCTGTAATAGGGAGGAATGTAATGAGAATGTTGTCTATAATGCAAATCATTATTGCTATGGTCTGTAATGAAGAGAATGGAACCAAAAAACTCGTTTTTAAAACTTATGTCCACTGATTTCTTTCGAAAATATATGTGGATTCCACAAAATATTGACAGGCAAGTCAAAGCGATCTCTGTTTCAAGTAAATACTAATTTTCAAATCTCAAATCGATGCTTTTTTTGTCGAACTACTAGAGTAATATTTCTGTTCAAATCAATTATTTGCAAGTATATTAAGTGAGCGTGTCTTTTTAGTCGCTCAGTCGATTTAATTCTAATCCATCACGATATTTCCTTGATATCTATTTTTTGTCACAGATATATTTGATTTAATACATCACTCCTCACTCTTCTGCGTCTTGCATAATATCATATTTGAGACTTCTGATTCATTTGTTCCAATTTTAATGTACCTTTTTCTTAAATTTGGAGCATATATTTTTTGTCTTTGTCTATTAGATTTTCCTCGGTTTAGCTGAAGTTACTTGAACACTATAAGTCCTATTCAACTAGTTAATACATAAATAGCAATTTCTTTAACAAAATCCTGTATAGATCTTCGTTTTACAAAATAAGAAATCCGAATTCTCACTAGACTAGAATAGTTGCCTATTTGAGTGAGATTGATAAATTTCTGGGCAAATTTGTTGTAACTATAATGGTTTACTAAACGAAACTAAGCACAATATTCTCTAATGAAATCAATATTTACAGGTAATTAACATACGATGTCATTACACACAGATAATAGCTGTCTTTGAGTAACTCATGATTTCATTACAGTTTGCTTTCATAAGTACTTAGCTTAGCGAAATTGTGAAAAATCATCATCGCGTTACGAAAAAAAAATTAAAAAGGAAACTTTCTTTCCTGAAAATATGGGCATCAGATAGCTCATCAAAAGTTAGCTTTACACATGTGTTCTTAACCGACATTCTTTTGCACCGATGGTAGAAAAACAAACAATAATCATTTTTCGTTACGCGATGACGTTTTAAATACTGCTGCTTTCCTTGAAGTCTCTGTACAAAACTAGAAAGCATAGAAAATTAATTCCTTTTTTAGTAGATGCCTTTACTAACGCACGCTTAATATGCTTTAACCAATTGGGTACATACTGAACAGTTTCGGTAAAACGCCCAGTTAGTTGATCAGGCCAAATTCACTAATTTTCATCACAAATTGGTGGTATCTTTGTCAGAAAATTCTAAACGCGATTGAAAACGTGTATACCTGAATAAGATATGCTTTCATATATTTTCGACCATCCTCTACAACATACACATAACAGTTTTTCGGAATGCCGACTTCGAACTTCCGGTATCAGAGATGACGCGTTACGATTTTTTGCCGATATAACAATATAATCAAATATTCTAATTGTGTATAAGAAAAGATTAAATATGGATATTACTTCAGCAAGAAATATTACCAAAAAAAAATTACTATTCTTACAGTTAATCCATACGTGTAATACAGATTATCCTTGTATAGTCACATGTACTATGAATACTACTTTTTTTCTTCTTGTACTTTTTAACTGATGATATGTTTCCTGTCAAATCAGGCATCTTGTACGTAGAAAATAGTTGTATAACAAAACTAAATAAGTATGATGACAAATGTTGTAGTAATGCACATTCTTCTAATCTGTCATTGAAATAGGAATTGAGGCTGTTTTAAGATATACTTCCATTGAACACTTTTCAAGAATAAGCATGAGTTATAATATGTTATCATTTTAAAATACATATTCAAACTATTCTCAATAAAGAACAAGTTTTCTAGAACAGAAGACTGTTACAGTAAAAATGTGTATATTCATCTAGAAACCATATAGAGAGAAAAATCTATTAATATAACGTTTCCTGAACATCATCTGAACGCTAGTTTCTTTATATCTTACAATAAAAATTTGACTTGACCAAATCACATATTATAAAAAAGATTTATGAAAGAAAAAGTGATCTTTATTGGCAAGAACAATATTTTTGTAATAATTAAGTCGTATTTTATTGTCTTTATATTGAAGTATGATGTAGAAATATGGTTTTGATTCTACATAAACTATCATTATGTATTCTAGATCTAAATTTTTTTAATGCAAAATTCATTTCTTTCTATGAATTCATTTTAGTCCATAACATTATTTGTTTTTAAATGTCATTATTTCAAAATGATCCCATCAATTTTCATGATTATTATGATTTTAATAATCGACAATGATTTCGAAGATTCTCATGATGTTGCAGTCAAAAACATGACTTATATACCCATCGTTTCTTCTTTGCCTCTGTCTCGTGTATTAAAAATACGTCCATTAAACGCTTGACGAAACATGTTGAGTAAGATTGAAAGCAAACTTTTATTTATTACAATTCGTTGCGTTTATTATCTTCTTTGCAATTTTTTCTTCAATGAGTAACTATTGCGCATCATACATTAGGAACGAGAAGCGAAGCATGCAATATATTCGTAAATCAAATTTATCGTATGATCATTATCGAATACTAGTGTAATAACTCATAATAATAATGAGTAAGAGAGGAAAAAAGAGGAACGGTTGAAAAAAAAAATAGTAGTGTGCGACAGTCCAACAACTATTACATTCAAATAGAAGATATAAAAATTGCTATATCGTGTGTAAGCAATTATTTACAATCATGTCTTCATATATTCATCAGCAACCTTCTTCGTGAGTAATTAGAATAATCGAATTCTAAAGTTTTTTTTTTTCGTAAGTTTTATATATTTGTTCACAGAGCCGTATTTATTGTCGAGCAAAATTCAATAAGTAAATATACTAGTTTTTCATTTCGTTCTCATATTACTTATTTTTATGGATAGAAACGGACTCAATGAACAAGACAACGCCTATTATTCAACAACCTCATTCAACAGGCGATAATTTTCCAAAAAGTCTTCGAGGGGGTGGTTTTTGTTTTATCTGGTGAAGTTTAAACTATAATTTCATTAGATCTAATAAGTGTCTTTCTTATTTCAGTTTCGACGATGGGTGTTGCTGTTGTATTTAATACGACATTGCTTGTTTCGAATGTTTGAAGGTCTTCTAGATTAGCAAACTACTGGAAACAATGCTTGAATTTTGTCGAAACTTTGTTTTATATTCTTATTTACCTTTGTATCTAGATAAATTCAATAAATTAATGCATAATTTTTTACACTAAAAAAAGAAATAAGATTTTACGCTGTAATATGAATAATAAGATTCAGCAAAATAAAAAGAAAGAACCAAGAAAAGGATAATGAATACCGGTGTATAAAGCCATGATAAATTATCCATAAAGAAGCACAATGAGTCAACAGTACTTTATATAATATTTCAAGATGAACCTTTCAATTAGCGACAAAGATTTCAGCAACAGATCATTTTTGTGTTCCTATGCAGAGAAGAAATCAAAAACTTGGGTGTGGGGTGTAGGTGTCGATCATCTCTTCGCCAACCCCGGCCCTCATACCCACACCTACATCCAGACCTGCATCCACACCCAACTATCAAAAGCTCAAGATTTTATAGTAAAAAATTCGTTGAATTCTTATTTATCAGGATAAAAATCTCGAAATTCTCGTGAACACACTTCGAACAATCCTTCACAGTTCTGAAAAACTCTAAAATATTTTGAACAATTTGTTGCATATGAAACTGTTGAAATATTTTGGAACTTAATAGAAACTTTCATGAAAACTTTGAACGCTTGGACAGTTTTGAAATCTTGGGCGCTTCTATTACATCGGGGGGTTTACTGTGCTTTGTTAAATATAATAGTTATTCACTAGTCGTGTAATAAACTTCATATTTATCTTCATGTTTTTTCGTGCTTAACTTTCCGGTTCTCATACTACTGTATTTATTATTTTCTATAAATTTTAATCTCTCACAAGGCTTATCTGTACACACTTCTATATAGCATGGAATAAGTCCTTAGTGGGTCAAATTTTTTCTTAGCTGATCTGCATTGCATATATCAGAAATTTCTTACACTATTATTTATCCTTACACCTTTTTATTCCAACAATAAATTCTTCATTAGATCGATCCTTTCTAGATCAGATCTATTCAGAGTCTAATAATTTATCTTGCGATTTTATATATATATCTTCGGAATTGATAATAAAATCCCAAAAAAGAAATGAATTTCAAAATTTAAAAGTTCCAATAAATTTCAACCAAGAAAAAGATTCCGAAATTAATTGAAAAATTCCAATAAATCCCAAAAAAATAAGTTCTGGAAGCTGCTGAAGACATTCGAGGAAACAAATCAATCGAATATATCTCGCCCATCGTTGTTCCATTATTCGAAAAAATCAGTGTATTCTTTCCCATTTGCAATTCAACAGACACCAAAATCGAACTCCAATTGTCTGAGTAGAAAACATCAATGGTTTGAATATCTTTTTTGTTCACAGTAATAAGGTAACTTGTCGTGTTGGGACGTTCTTTTGAGCGAACTTGTATCACTACGATGTACCATCCTGCTTTATCTACGTCAACGTCGAATGCTGAATTCTGAAGCGGTGAATCTAACTGGTAACGTTGACGTTGAGGTTCACCTTGAGGAAGAGAAATGGGTACATTGGGATCTTGAAGTTCACCCAAAACTAGTGTCCCATCCTCTTCATTCCACCGAAACGGTTGAGTCCTAATCTGTCTCGTCCATCCAGAACCATCATAAGCTGCTGAGTGAAAAACGAGCCAATTATCACTAGTTAAACTGCCATGGCCCGGTCCAAATAGTCCGCTTCTGCTCTTCAAAATTGGATTGGCTTGTTTTTGCCACGATATTGGATTCATAGGGTCTGCATTGACATGAGCAGTGATCAAACCCATGCAATAGTCATTAGTCCAACTGCCGGAAGCGGAAAAGATGAGATTGATGGTTTGACCATGGACGATGATCTCTGGCCCTTCATTAACGAACGGTCTATGATTGGTTTCCCAGGGATAGGTAGGTCTAGCGATCTCTACACGTTTAGAGTCGATAGTGTATGGGTTGGACATGTGAGCGATGTAGAGAATCTATAAAAAAATGAATACAATGTTCAATTAATTATGAGAACTGTGTGCATTCGTTTTTGAACATCATCGTTTACAATAAAAAATGTGCATTCCTACGATTATTTTGTATTTGATTGGGAGATTACAGCATTTTCTTTGATACATAAACTGAAATGTATTTCTGATAGTAAACAATTTTGAGAAAACTTAAAACTCTAGTTGGCGAAATAATCATTTAAGATTGAAATGAATATTTAAATTCAGATATCTAGAAGCGCGTTTTTCTGCAACAGTTCCAAAGAACACGTAAATTTTGCAGTTGGAAATGATACTGAGATTCAAGGTCATCACTGAAGAGAGTTTTCTGTCTAAAAGTGAGAGTTGCATCCAAAGTCATTTTATCTTACCTGCATAACATCAACATCTCCTTCCCATCCCGACCATATAGAGTACAATTCATTCGTGGATGGATGTTCAAACACTGTTCCGTCAATTGCCCACTTATTCGTCTCATCTGTGAGCTGACCTCGAAATTGGAATTCACCTTGGAATGGATCTTCGTTTTCGTTTTCCACGACAAACATTCGATGATTAGCATTATCACCATCGCAAGTTGTCGCTGCAAAATAGACATACCATTTCTGATGAATGAGATGAAGTTCAGGTGCCCAAACATCTCGACATGCTGTCGTATTATTCGGTGTCCAAATGACTTTACTCTCGCTGATGTCAAGTGTAGTCAGATAATGTGAGCGCCAAATGACAACGTTGACTTGAGTAGATTTGGTGGCATAGTAGAAACCGTTCGTAGGATGTTTAAATACCCATGGATCTGCACCATGTTGGGAGAGATAGGGATAAAATGTGTTGACAATAGTATAATTGCTTACAGATTTTGGTGAATTCAACTGTATCCCTTGTATCATTTTATAGTTTGTCAGATATGTATTATGAACTGATACAAAAAAATGTAGAGGTAAAAGCAGAAGAAAAAACACTACATGTTTCACCATTCTTGAAGCACAATATAATAATATCTCTGCGCATACCTTCACATTTATCTTGCACTTGATAGCAAAGATAAATATTATAAACCTTAAACTTTTTCTTTTTCATCAGCATCCAAGGATGTCTTTTTGACAAACTTCTATGTTACATATCTGCACCCAATAAACTATAGAAATGGTGAAATAAAAATAAAGTACTTTTTAGCACGTTGATATCTCGCCTGCAATCAATAACAGTGCTTTGTTAGTAGTGACTTACCAAAAAATGATAAAGAATAGTCGACTCTTGTTGACTAAAAAGAGTATAGGATGTGTGGGTGTAGATGTGGGATGTGGGTGGGGTATGGGTGTGAGTTTGGATGAAGAAATAAAGAATATTTACACCAAATTTATCTGGTTTCTTTCTTTTTATTGCTGTCTATTAGCATTTGTGTTTTATTGCAACACTTTTATTATGCTTATTCAAAAAAAAAATCGAAAATTGCATTTTGTCAAAATTTGATGTCCGTGCGAAAATTTCTTTGATGGATAACTCGAAACAATCAAATATTTCAACGAGGGTTCGACAAGAATGATAATCATCACATATATTTTCAGATTATGGGATATTAAACTTCCAATTTTGCGTTTTTGACTATGAAATTTTGAACTTTTGTATTTCGATCTTTCGGGCTCCAAATCAATTCAAAATTTCTAAGTCCAAAGAATCGACTTGTTGTTTCTCATGATGCACTCGATTCGTTTCTATAATAGATCATCTCAAACATTTTGGAAGAGATACTTCCTTGACCTCGTGGCAGATCGTGACGTATATAACAAGCAATTTTATCTTCATGCAAAACGTTGCTATCGAGTTTCACATTTGAATCCCCTAGGGATTATGCTGAACGCTTAAAAAAACATTGCTTTATACGATTTATTAACTAAACATCAATCATCACCCTGAAAAAAAAGAGTAATAATAGAAGGCTGGAAATGCTTCAATAATCAATACATTTATATCAGAAGTTTCCATTGAAAACCCTGTCAATTACATTTCTGTTTGAAACGATGAAAAGAGGATCTAAATTCTTGCCATGTAATTACGTTTGTTCACTTTTCTAACAGAATGTGTTGCATCAATATCTTTCAGATTGTAAAAATTTACACTTTTTATTGTTCAATTTAAAAGACGTAGCGTTTTGTTCTACATTCAATTTTATATGTATAGATGTACAAATAAACTTTTCACAACTAGATTTGAGTTTTGAAACAAATTTAATTTCACAAAAACACTATGACCTGCTAGCTCGAAGTTTATTTCTCGTAAACTATAGAAGAAAAA